GTACTGACCTGCTCTGACTGCGACTTGTTCTGCAGACCCGTGCACGAACGAAACCTGTTGAAACGTTGTCTCCAACGAGGCCACGATTCTGCCTTCCCATCAAAGGGCTTCGGCGGGGGTAGAGACACGCGGCGATGAACTGTTGTTTCACCGGCCTGATGAATGTTAACATCCGATCGTGTTCAGCCATGATTAAAAAAGTAAAGAAATGACACTTATATACCGCTTTCAACCGCTGCCACCATGTAATATTGTTCGGTTTGTGGGTACAAACAGATATAGAGAGAGTGAAGAAACGCACGTCTGAAAAGGCTCTTTGGTTTTATTATATTCCTCTAGTACATTGTAACCGAAAAGTAACTACTGAGTAGAAGAAAGGTACTGTCTAAATCCCGATACGTACCTAACAGTTATAACAGAAGAGTTGTGTGATGTACATTATTCCACAGACACACGGGTAAAACCCGCCCTATCGGTTGGCTGTTATATAAACGCATGAACGAGGAAATAAGAAGATGCGTTCTTCTAAAATAGACACACGGGTAAAACCCGCCCTATCGGTTGGCTGTTATATAAACGCATGAACGAGGAACTAAGAAGATACGATCAAGACATTTTAATAAAAAGCTCTGTTATCTGGAAAGAACGCAAAAATTTTATTTGTGAGGTCGAAGAGCCTGTGTCTGAACATTCGAAAAAGGAACAAGTTCTACTGAGCAAAAGGTATAGTAGCATGGTCATTTTGTCGGATGAATGTGTATAAATAATTAACCGCCTTGACATAAAATGTATGGTCACTCATCTGTGAAAAACTATCATGCCATCCATTCCCCCTCTCCATCTGATTAAATATCTTGGCCTCTAGAGAGGTCACATAATCTGTGTGTTTAAGAAGTATGAAATAATCAATATGATACGATTCCTTGCCCCTGTCATAAAATGTCCATCTCCGATAAGACAAAGCTAAGTGGCTGTGGAGTCATGAAAAGATCTCAGTACAACCCATGTTCAAGAATGGCCTTTGAGGCAATCCGAGCCATGATTGCACAGTCCACACATCCGCTTGGCTCTCTCTCTATATATATATATAAGTGGTGTGTTTACTAAGTGCGCTAAATAAACCGGGCCGTCACATCTCTGCAAACGTGTATCTATTGCGTATCCCAAAATAGTAAGAAATATACATTTATTCTTTGCCCCCAATGCAAGAACTAACTGAGGTCGTGCTTTGATGGTATAACATTAACGCCATGTCACATTATGGCAGGGGGCTCTCATGGTCTAGAGGTTAAGGTGTTCGCCTCTCATTCAAAGATCCTGGTTTCGAATCTGTGTAGCGACCGAAAAATTTGCTTTTCTAAATTTGTCTCCTTTCACCTCCTTTCCTGTTCTCTAGCAGTGTTCTGTCGCGTGCTTTTGTCTCAACTCTCTGCCCCCACCCTCTCACCTCCTTTGCCACCTCCCCTGGGCTCATGACTCTTTCTGCAGCCTCTCTACTGCTACTTCTTGGCTCCTTCTTACTGCTGTCTTTCAGCCACACCCCTGTTCTTCTGGTAGGAAAGATCTACACCTAGCCGTCTCGGACAAGGTTTGGAAAATCTCTGAGGTCCTGTGTGCAAGTTGCGTACGTTAAAAATCCCTTGATGGTCAAAAATCGATAAGAGTAAGCTTCGGCCGCCACCTGGACAAAATTCAAAATCTCCTACCTATTAAAAAATGTTTAATATGCCCCGAACGCTCATATGACCATATACAGTTGCGAGCGCCGTAAAATACTTACCCAAAAAAAACACAACAACAACCCCCCCC